CCCCGCCCTGCCAGGCGAATTAAACCAGAGGCTCTCCTCGCCCCACTGGGGGGGGGGGATCTGTGATGCGAGGAGCCATCTCGCCGTCTCAGCTGAAAAAGGAAGAGCCCAACAAATCCCTTCTTTTTCTCTACCCCCACCCCACCGGCAGCCCTCTCTCGGCCCCGATCTCGGCCCCCACCCCACCCTCACCCCGCCTTCTTAAGATGCAGTGAGTGGTATCAGCTGCGGAGCCCCCAGTGCGGCTCAATCGGCGCGCCTCCCTGGAGAGGTGATCTCTTGGAGTTGGGGTGGGGTGGGGAGACATTTCCTGATTGCTTGTAATTGACGACAAAGGGCGGCGGGGGGGGGAGAGAGAGCCCAAGGGGCTGCGCCCTGTCCTTGTTGCAGCCGCCGCCGGGGTTTGGGGGAGGTTTAAACCGGGCGATTGTTTCTGAGCAAGCTCCTCTCCTATTTCCTCTGCAGGTTTCGGTGCCGCCAGCGCCTCAGCCCGTCCCATGGAGTTAGAGGGGCAGTGGTGGAAAGGACAGCTGGCTGCCGACATCCACCAAGCGCTTCGTTACAAGGTAATTCGCCCTCCCCCCTGCTGGAGTCCGAGCCTTCTTCAGCCCCTTGCCCCGGAGGTGGGACGGGTAACTTGAATTACCCGTCCCAAATCCGCCAGTCGAGGCTAAAACTGCTGTCGGGGAAGGGTGGGTAGATCCGAACTCTCCGCGCTGGAGTTTGCTTCCCGCTTGAGTGACAGATCCAGCTCTGGCCTCTCGATGGGCCGGGGAGGAAGGCAACTGCTGCCCGGAGGCTTTCCCTCTCCATCGACTGCCCTCTCCCCCGACATCGGGCCCATCAGTGAGATGCAACTCTTTAAAAAAAAGGAAATAGAAAAACAACAACAGTTGGTAGAAAGAAAGAGCCGGCCCTTGGGAAGGGAATGTTGCCACTTTTCTTGTGTTCCCCATAGTTGGGAAAATTTACTTTTTTGTACTATAGCTCAGTGGTCCCCAACCATGGGCCTCCAGATGTTCTTGGACTTCAACTCCCAGAAATCCTGGCCAGCAGAAGTGGTGATGAAGGCTTCTGGGAGCTGTAGTCCAAGAACATCTGGAGGTGTAGCTCACAGAAAACTCCCAGCCCAGATGACCCTCTGGTCCAAAGGAAGACTAGGTTTCCCCAGTAGTGAGTTTTTCCATTTTGTGGAGAACAGCCTGAATAGTTGGGAATAGTTCTGCAAGGAGGGGAGAGAGATTTAGTAACACCCTTGATGTGTGGAGAGCCTCTTTAGTTGTGACAAGTTACCTTGCTGGTTTCAGTGGGAGCAGTGAAGGACAGAGTGGCCACAATCTCATAGAGAGTCATCTGACAGTAAATTGCTCTGAACTCAGCAGGTCTCCTGAGTGGAGGGATATACGTAGGATTTCAGCCTTTTAACACTATCCAGTCACACAGGTAAGGATATCAAATCCCGTTGACTTCCCTGGCTTGCAGCCTAAGATATTCTGTTGATGTAATGGTGTTGTAATGCCGTGAACCGTTCTTCTGTCTACAAACCCTCCTCTTGTGCTGGGAGCTGTAGAGTGAACTTTTCACAGAGGCAAAGTTTAGGTCCAGGCCAATGTGTCTGACAGCTGGAGCACCCTTCTCTTGGATTGGGGCCTGAGTAAATCCTTTGGGTTACATAGCTGATTTGCCCGAGGCTCCGTAATGTGTCTGTGGCATAGAACTTGGAAAAGTTACTGTTTTGGATGATGACCCTGCCCCCAACCACCACCACCCAGCCAGCATAGCCAGTGGGAGTTAGTTTCTTAAAAAACAACTTTTCCATGCCCTTTTGTGTCAGAGATCTCCAGTGCATCTATGAGAATTCTGAGAAGTCTCGAGTTTGTTTGTGTCTTTTCTAAGTTGAGATATCTGCTTCACAGATGTACATCTGTGAGCACTTAAAACTGGTGTTGTTGCTTGGAAAAGGAGTCTGAAATGTTCCTTTTGAGAAATGGAATAGTAGATGAACTGTTTTACATTGTTTTCCAGTATCAACAGAAGTAACAGAAAATATGTTACATGACATTCAAAGAGTTCATTCAAAAGTCCCTGCTTTCACCTGATTAGCTTGATTTTATTTTAATGGCCACCTATTAGATAAACCTCTGACTCAAATAGTAATTCTGTTGGTTTGTTTCTTGACAAAATCTATTTAGTGTATCTCTACCAATTCACAACTTATGAAAAAATAATAGTCTCAAGTCTTCTCCCACATACCCCAAGGTGACTCATTCACCATTTAAAACAGATCTTGTTCTCTTTGATAATGTGGAGCCTTCACATGTGAAAGGTAATATCAGGACATCTTCTAAATGACTTGGCTTGCAGTCTCTTCAGCTGGGTGCAAGTCCCAGACCATTCTGAAGTATCATTTCATAGAAATGTAGCCTAAGTGCATAAAGGATGATAGAAATATAGTAGTGGGTTGCTATGCAGCACAAACAACTGCAAGAAAGACAAGCTTGTTAAAGGGGTTTTTAAGGCACTTGGTTAGTATGCTGCAGCTTTTGTTTGGAAACTGCTGGTCCCATTTAAGTCTTTGGTGGCAAGCTTCAATAGAAATGCAGTAATCGTATTCAAATGATGAACACAAGAATAGCAGACATAGTCTTAGCAAAAGTCTCTTAAAGGTGGCCAAATTCTGCCAGTACTTAAGGGAATACGTATGAACAGCTTAGTGATTTAAACAGAGATTTTAAGTTCAGTTCCCCACTGTGCCTCCTTGACAGGGGTTGGACTTGATGATCCATAGGGTCCCTTCCAGTTTTGCAGTTCTGAGATGATGATGACGACGAAGAAGTCAAGATATTTTTTTCAAAATATTGTTTTTGTGAGAGGCATATGCTTGGTTAGTGTTCTTCCACTCCTTTGGCATTAGGAGTTACCCCCTATTTCAGTCAAGACATTTGCACTTCTTAAGAAATAGTCAAAGGATTGATGCTCATCAATTTCAGCTTTTCAGTGAGCTTAGAAATTTGTTTGGACAACAACTCCCCAAATCCCTCTACCAGTTTTGGGAAGTGTTGTCCCAAAAAGGAAAGTTTCCAAGCTCTGACTTCTTCTTACCATGGAAAGTGCTGAAGAAAGCTGTGGTGGTTCAGTTCTTGCCTTTTATGCAGTTTTAAGCAGAAACCCTACCTGAAGAACTATGGCTACAGGACTGGAATTACCTGTTAATATATCATATGGATTCTGTTAATTTTGTAAACATTTGGCATATATTTATAACCCCCGTGGTAGGTGGTTGCCTCTGGTCATACACATGCTATCTCAGCAGGTACTACTGCTGTATAAATGTCAGGTAATAATTAATGATGGACTAGTAAATATCTGAAAATGGTTGTGCATGCAGTAAAGATTTTGGTGAGCTTCTGTCTCAAATAGGGAAAATGTGAAGCTTTTGCTTTTATCCCAGCCATTGTTTATGCAGTAGTACGTCTAGCTGAATTCATCAGAATTTATAAGTATGCTTAAGACTACAGACTGTAAAGAGTTCAGCTTCCAAATATTTAAGAACAAACCTGTCTTTCTGCCTACATAGTGTTAGAAAATTCAGGGGGTTGTGTCAAAATCTTAATTCTAATTAAAGTAGGCTGATTGAATGAATTGGAGGTGTTAGAGCAGTGATGTAAGTCTTGATTTAATTAACCTACTCTAGTTAGGCCTTGCTACTAGATTAAACCCTGGGACTTTGCCCTTATCCCTTTCAATTATTTTGAAATTGAATTATCAGTCCTATTTAAACTAAACCAGTTTAATATCAATAAAAATTCTTTGTGAGGAAGTGGACTATCCATGAAGGCTCAAATTAAAATATAGCAGTTAATCTTTAAGGTGCCACAAAGTTTTATCTTTATTTTCTATTTTTCTTTCCTTGTTTGGGAGCTGATGAGGACTCATTGAGTATTTGCAGCCACTGTCCTCTCACTAGCTTCAAAGCCTTGTTCAGGAGTAAACTTAAAAAACATGCAAGCCCTATGAATAATCCAGCAGCAGTCCTGAAATACTGAATTTATTTTATTTTTAATAGAAATCTTGTCATGCAGCCTTGTTGTCCTCAGCAAGAAATTGCCCGTGATTAAGAGCAAATCACCATTGATTAGGGGTGATTTGGGTGTGCATGTGATTGGTACACAATGCAGATGCACTCAAAAATCCCGCCAGAAAGGCTTCAGTCAACAGACTTAAGTCGTAGAGTAGGCCCAGTTGAATCAATGGAACTTACAAAGGAGTTAACTCATTAACTGTTAATTCAGTAAGCCTATTCTAGTGCAATTTGCTCTGCTAAGGAACTGAATTTTGGCCAGTAAAATCAGACTTCTGCCTACCAAAACACTTTGTCTGGAAAAGACTTCCTGGAACCAAATCCTTCAATGTACAGTAGGTGTTTCTCAGAATTTATGTGCTTTTGGGCATGACACTGTGAAATAGAATACCTTCTGAATGCCCATCTTTTTCATCTTGTGCAACTTTCTGGATTTCTTCCCTAATAGCTCATGACCCTGGATGGGATTTTTGTTTCCTTGTTCCGATGTGCTCCCAAGCCAATAGATTTGTGTATACTTGGAACATGAGTTGCTTGTGCTGCTTTGATTACTGCTGTTCAGATTAGTATAAAACTGCTCTGTCCAATTTTCTACCTGTAAACTGGAAGCTAAACTAGCAGAAGCACATATAATTGACTCAAATGAACCAATGTACAAGAGGGAGTAGGTTCTGCTCCAGAATACTAGTGCCCTGTAATGAAACAGAAATGAATGTTGAGGTATTGGTAGGCAGTGGTGATGGTGACAATGGGGATGCATATACAGTGCACTTCCTAAGAAGAATTTTTCAGGCAAACAATGTAAATGTTTGTGCGTGCCAACCTTGTATCTCAAGAACTACAGGAAAGGTGAGTGATCTACAGTTATGGGGTTAATATCATCTCCCCCCACCCCCCAGTTTCCTTCATTGAAGTTTTTCTAACTGCTCTTGAACAAAGAGCTGTGGGTTGATCATTCCAGTTGGGGAAACAGCTTGGGGGCAAAGAGCATCAGCTCCTGCCCTTAGCAGTGCTGACCCAATTAAATGTGCAGCACCAGCCCCCCCACACACACTGCAGTAAGAAAACATTGAGAACTCCAGTCAGTATTTCTTCTCCTCAGTGTTTGACCCCTCTCTCTATATGGTGTCAAAGGGAAATGAAATAAACTCTCAGCTAGCAGTTTCCAAAGCAGTAGCCACGTTAGTCTGTCTCAGCATGTTGGCAAGAAAAAGAAAAAAAGGCAGGCAGGCAGGCAAAATAGTGTAGCCCTTAAAGACTAAGACTGGAGGGGGGGTTAGGGTGGCAAACTGTGGATCAGCTTTTCAGCTGGGAAACAAACCGCACCAAACCAGTAGCTCATGCCCATCTCTAGTCAGAATTAACTTGATGGCATGTGTTTTTTGTTGTTATCATCATCCTAAAAATACTTATTATTCTCTGTTTAGGAACTGAAGCTACCATCCTATAAAAGCCAGTCTCCCCAGTTAAATTTGAGAAGATACTTTGCAGATTTAATTGCCATCGTGAGCAATCGCTTCAGACTCTGCCCTGCTGCCCGACATCTTGCTGTTTACCTACTGGACCTTTTTATGGATCGTTATGACATATCTATTCAACAGCTACATGTGGTTGCTCTTTCCTGCTTGCTTTTAGCAAGTAAGTATAACGGAACAGCCTTAACAAATTGAACTAGCTGAATAGCTCAGTAAGTTAGGTATCTGGCTGCTGAGTCAGTGGCCGGGAGTTTAATTTCTCACTGTGAATGGGAAAACACTTCTGAGTATTCTCTACCTGGAAAACCTTGAAAATGTTTACCATAAGTCAGAAATTATGGAAATTTAAATTAGTCATCTTAAGGTCCAGTTTTGCTACATGAAGTCCAAATTCCCTATCTGCTGAGCTCACTTCTACAACTTCCTTATAACTTCAAAAGCCTGAATTATATTTGGAATATTTCCCAAACACCATGGATACTACCTAAACTCATTTATGTAAACTCACTCCTACTTTATGTTTACTTATTTTTTCTCCCTTGTCTATAATTACAGCCTTTTTGTACAGTTTTTTACAACTGCAACTCTATTTTTTTTCTCGGCAAAATGGATTCTCAGGCCTATTATGTGGCCCACAACCACACAAAATGTTTCAGGAGTCATCATGCTTCATAATTTATGGAATGTCATGTCTACAGTAATTCCACTTGATCTACATATTTTCAAGCACAATTATAAAAGAGTTTAGACCAATTAAGAAATTAAGCTTTTTGCAAATACTACAAGAGATGTGGGCTAGAATCCTATTGATGTTCATGTATGTTTTGCTTAACTTGCCATGGCCAACTGAGAAGGTGCCAGGGTGCATCTTGGTCACATATCTGGTTATCCACCTTGTTGCACAACCAAGATGTTCCCTGGCATCTTGTCAGTTAGCCACAACATACACAAATATTACTCAGACAGTAGTAGGTGCAGGCCATTATGAAATTATTACGATAATTCTAAAGTGCGGGTGAACTGCATGGAACCTTGCTTGATTTTTTAAAGGTGATCTTAATTCGGTGGGCATATATGCTGTATAGATGATGGTTAAGTAGGTGACAGTAGAATGAAATGGCCTAGTTGTGCTGCACCCATAACAATATTCAGTCCTGTTACTCCTCTACAGCTTTTTTAAAAAGAAAGTGTTCAAAGTGTATACTGGAAACCTGGTTGTAAATTTTTGCAGTTTGATTAATTTTACAGTTAACTAAACATGCATACAATATGTGTATGCGCCTGTTTTTAGATTGGAGTCTTGTCTTTCAGAGATGTAATGCTGCTTATATGTACACATGTGTAATTGGTTTTATCACATATCTAATGCTGTAATGGTATTTTACTTTGTCATTCCCTTCAAGGTAAATTTGAAGAGAAAGAAGACAGTGTGCCTAAACTTGAACAACTAAACAGTCTGGGTTGTATGACTAACATGAACTTGGTCCTGACTAAACAAAACTTACTGCACATGGAACTGCTGTTGTTAGAAACCTTTCAGTGGAATCTGTGCCTCCCAACAGCTGCTCACTTCATTGACTATTACCTCTCCATTGCTGTTCATGAATCGGATCTCCATGATGGATGGCCAATGGTTTGCTTAGAAAAGACAAAGCTGTATATGGCAAAATATGCTGACTACTTTTTGGAAGTTTCCCTTCAAGGTGCGTTTTCATGGCTTTGTTCTAAAGACACTATAGTTACTTAGTTACACAGCTAATACTGTGTTTGACTTAACCATGATCCTCCGATGTCTCTCCAGATCATGCATTTTTAAATTATGCCCCTTCGTTAGTGGCCGCTGCCTGTGTGGCTTCTTCACGGATTATCTTGCGCCTTTCGCCAACATGGCCAGCCCGACTGCATCGCCTTACTGCATACTCCTGGGACTTCCTGGTTCCATGTATTGAACGACTTTTGGTGTGAGTTTTCTGTCATGGTTTCTAACTTGATATTGTCACGTAGCAGAAAACAGGGGAGGAAGAAATGTATTTACATATACTTTGTTTCACTATGCCTTGTGACCACAGTTCTATCCAGTTTGAAGAATCTGATAGTCATGTTGGTGTGATTCTCGGCTATGATCCTTGAAAGTTTTCACAGTAATTGCAATTTTTTGAAAATAGTTTAACCCTCAGATGTGCCACAGATTCACCCAAAATAGAACAGCCTTTAACAGCACAGCTAACACAGAAGACATTAACTAATTCATTACAAAGGGTCTTATATTAGATTGTTGTGGTTTGTCGGACCAAGCTAACAATTGAAGTTCTGATCCAAGTGCAATTTTCCTTTTCGGCTGCTTTAACGAGTAGCCATTGCTTTCAGTCTGCAATCTGCCACTTGAAATTAACTGACCAGAAGGTCTGAAAATATTTGAGACCTCAGTTCACACACCCATTTTTCAGATATGTTGCTGTTGATTCTTCAGCTGTTTTAACATTGTAAGGGAAATTCAGCTCATGGTGGTACATGATTGTGTGTTGTACTTGTCAGAATTGAATCTGCGCAATTAATATCCACTTTTCTACTGAAGCACCCAAAATAATAATAATCTGTAAAAATGATAAATAAAAATATACTGAAAGAACAAAAATGAAATAAAAAACAACAATATTCTGGCTTCTTGAGGGAGAACAGACTTATTTCAGTGTGAGCACTCATAGATCAGAGTCTACACCCCTAGGCACATGCTGAACAAAAACAAAAAAAACAACTAAAATATGATAAAACCAACAATAGAAACGTTAAAGCCTAAAATAACGGACTCATGAAATGCAGTGGTCAAATACAAAGATGGATTAAAGATTTTAGCTTATGTGGTCTGTTTTGATTAAGCTGTCAGCTGATGCAAATACTTGTTTATTCATTAAATTAGTTTGTATCCATTTAGCATTCTCATCGTGAACGTATCTGCATGCATACACGTCTTGCAGATTTCAACAAATTATTCTCAGAAGTGAATGTGCTTAGGAGTGTAACATTCTGTTGTAATCCAGGGACTGCCAAATACATTCATATTCCATTGAAGCTAATAAGAGACTTGAGTATATACCGTATTTTTCACACCATAAGACACACTTTTTTCCCACAAAACGGGGGTGGAAAGTTTGTGCGTCTTATGGAGCGAAGAAAACAGATTATATTTTCCTGCTTTCTTCTCCTAAAAAAATTGGTGCGTCTTATGGAAAGGTGCGTCTTATGGAGTGAAAAATAGTAACTGGACAATTTTTTACTCTCCTGAAGAAAGGACACAAACCAAACAATTTTCTCTAATGGAGTGGGGGTTCTTGATATGCTTCTATTCTAATATTTTGAGTCAGCCATGATGCCTTCTGTGGAAAGCTGATCTAGGAAGATTGATAAAATAAGTGCCTATACTACAGTATATGTAATGGAGTAGGCCTTACATGCTAGAGGACATTTTGGTCCACTGTCCTCAAGAATGTAAGAAAGTGCCTTCTGCTTGCCCACGGAGGGGATGGGTTGTGAATTCAAGTCTCCCCATAAAATGGAATGAAATTATTTTGTAGTAATGTTTAAAATATTTTTATATCCTAGTGCCCATGATAATGATGTAAAAGAAGCCAACAAGCAAAAAGGACAACATACATCTCAAGCTGCTCAGCACAGTTTATTTCAAACGGCCACTCCATCTCCACAGCAGCACATCCCTCAATATGTTCAAGCACATCAAACTCCTCTCCAGCTTCCTGAAACAGCAGCACAACAAAACTGTCAGCCGATCGTGCCATCCAGTCACACACCTTATTCGCTGCATGCTTGCCCAGCTGGTTTACAAGGCAATATTCAGGCTCGAGGCCATATGCAGACTGCTGCTGGATTATCACTAGCTGTACCCATAGAAATGAAGCCATGTTTAAGTGTTTCCTATAATCGAAGCTACCAGATTGCTGGACGTTACCCTTGTATTACACCCTGCTTTGAGAGGTGATAACTAGAGCAATAGCTCTATATGCTGTCAGTGTCAAGATAACAAGGAGGGCATTAATCATTGGTCCTCTTCATAGGAGGGCTAAATTCTACTTGTCCTCCAGATGGTAACTTGGTGACAGAAAGTGCAGGCCATGAGAATTTATTGTGTGTGTTTTTTGGGGAAAATAATTGTGACTCTCAGATGGTTTGTGTGTTCATCTTAAACATGCTTTTAAAACTCATGTTGAGTGACAACTGCACAAACTTCATATCTGTCTTTTCATGAAAAGGAAAGATTTCATGTTGTTTTGGAGAGACCACTGCTTCACAGCTTCATGCAAGATCGTTAAAGCATTAAAGCCCACCAAGTGCCGTGGTTTCTGAAAAGATGAAGCGGGAGAAAAGATTCCCTTCATTTAATCAGCAGCTCAATTGTAATTCATTCCTATGGATAAGGTTTTGTGTTATGGCCTTGGGTTGACTTTTTTGTATGTCTTCTACTCAAAGTATTTTTGTCTTCATTGAAATTATGTAGAGGTAAATTGTCACACTAACTCAGGGAATAATCTAACTATTGTGATACTGGTTTATACTGTTTCAAGTAGTTATCTGAAGTTGTCTTGCTTAGGATAATGCAATAGTAAATACTGAAGGGAGCGCAGATACTCATTTACACTACTCCCTTCATCAAAAGGGTGCTTTCTTATGTGACAGTGAAAAGTGTGCTCTTTAAATGAAGCCAGTATTGCACCATACCTGTTGGAGTACTATTTTTTCCTAGTTGCTGTAACCAACTATTTGTGCCCACAAAGTTTAAATTTGATTATTCCCAATGCTTGGGGTGGGGAAATACAAATCAACTGCTTACAAAAACTACAGCCTACTATTTGTGGGAATATTTGCAGACTCCAACAAGGTAGCTACATTTCCTATCCTATCATAAATAGTAATTAAAGATCACTTCTGTGGTGTGAATTAGGGTGCTAATTGTATAACTATCAGAAGTGTGATAGTTCTAGCCGTTTTAAATTTCTCTGCCCAGCTAAAGCAGAAGCAGAATTATTTCAGTGAATAGGTAAAAGGATATTATTATGGGAACTTTGTCTTGCCTTTCCTAATTAAGTTGGTAGCTGTTTAATTGGATCTAGGTATGAAAAGGAATCAATGGAAGCTGAGAGTATAGGGTAGTATTTGCAACCTTTCAAAATGATTTGGGTAGTGGGTAAGGGGTATGGGTGAGAAATGTGAAAATAATAGTGGCACAAACTTTTCCCAGGGAAGAAAGGACCACCATAAGATGCTTGATATTTTGAGGAAAATTACTTTGCTTGAGCTAAATGATTAATATAGAGCCAAATGGGCTGCAAGAAAGTCTTTAATTTAGAGGAGAATCAATCCTCTATTGTGGTGATTATTTTATGCAGTAATATATTTCAGGGTGTCTCTGACAAAAATAGGGATTTCTGAATGAAGGAAGTAAAATATTTGGTGAACATCTTTTATCTAGGGATTTCCTTATTGTTCTTTCCTTCTCCTATTTTAGTGTCAGTTTGTTTTCCTTGAAAGGATAAAAAAGGGTTAGTCAAGAGAAGTTGGAGGATCATGCTATACGGTGTAAATTTCCGATAGTTTCATTTTATATGGAATGAAGGACTGTGGAATGCAGCTGAAAGGGAAAGATACACATCTCACCTTGCATTATTATGTGTAAAACTTCACTGTTTGTCTACCTCAATAATACTTTGAATGTACAGTATTGTGGTGATCCTTGACTTGAAATAACAGCAGGTTGCTTCTGAAATCCTTGTGTTGGCTTCAGTTTCATCCTCCATGTGCAAGACAGGGCAGAGTAGAGTTACTAATAAATCAGTGTAATCCATGCTGTAGACCTTTACATGCAAACATTAGCTAATAACACTGGAATTTATAGAAGGGGTAATTTGTCTCATTAACACAGCAAAAGCCTACATAGGGTGTCTTATTTGTATTTAAGTCATTATACTTCTTTGTTAGAAGGATACACTACATGTTATTGGGTTTGTGGCTTTGTTTTTAATTTATTTATTATTTAGCTTTTTGAGTTTGACATTATAGGATTATCTTGACAATAGAATATGCACTGTGAAACATTTCCGGTTGTTTTTTTTTTAATGCTCTGGGTCAGTCTCCACTGAATCAACACACTATTTGAAGTTCCTACTGCAGGAATTAAAATGTGTGTGCCTTGGTCTTGAGAGAAATATCCACAACAGAAATTCAGATGAGTGCCATGCACTCTTTTTAAAATAAAACTAGTTTTGAGTAAATTGTTTGTGCCTGAATGTGTGGTTCATAATTTCAATGTAACCTGTGTGCATCTACCAGACTTTTTAAAGGTTAACTCTAAAACTAACAGAACAGACAGGAAATGAAGCAGGAAAGAGTATTTTAAAAGAGTCTTTATAGAAAATGAGTACTCTTACACTTCATGAGACATCCTTTTCCGAGACAGAAGAAAAGAGACAGGAAATGTCTCTGTAGTGGGTTATGAACTAAATTAATGCTAAAATGGTATGCTAAAATACTGTTGAAATCACAGTACAGTTCTAGAATTTCTTGGCAATTTTTGGTTGTACAGCACAACATTTTACCAGCACAATGTTTTAACTTGCACGACGAAGTGGCTGCCTTCTGGCTTGAGAGACAATAAAAACATAGAATGGGGCCAGATCATCCAGGAATGTTAACTTTTAAACATTCAGTAGGTTTTTCTATATACCAAAGTAAAAGGGACAGTACATAAGAATGTGAGATATTAATTTGCGTGATCATGTTTGGGTAGTCATGTTAATGTTCCACTGTCCTGGCTCTCCTTCACAGGTTCCAACTCCCAATGGTTGTGAAATTTGCACTATGCTAGGGTGGGCGTGGTTTTGCGCAAATTTAATATGTATACAAGGTTAGTAACAGTCCCTGCAGAAATCAGAGTACAATTTAGCTGAAAGATGTTACAGTATTCAGAAACCCTGGTTATTGAATAACAGAAGACACATCAGTGTGGACAGTTTTGATCTTGCTCAAATGTTCAGAACTAATGCAAATGCTCAAGAAAGTATTTTGCAGATCTTGACAGGAAGTACAGATAGTTGACTCAGTGCTGCCTCAGAGAGAAATAAAGTCTAGATTACTGGTGCTTCAGTCCCAACTTAGAAAAACCTCAGCAAATTGAGGAAGATGAGGAAAGGTGAGCTTCTTAGAAGCAAAAGAGACAATGGGCCTCTCTGTGTGAGAAGGCTATATATGCCCACAGGCAGAATATTTCTTAAACAAGACCTTAGGGGCCAAAAGAACAGGCAAAACCTGAAAAAAGAATAAGTTTGGAGAAATATACAAATATGAAGTTAAAAAAATACTCAAAAACATGCAAAAACATTTCAAATGCTGCCATTCTGGTGGCAAACACAAAGGAACTGAGAGACCTGAGCTGAGTTGCACTGAAGTGTGCACCATGAGTTATGAAGGCAGGACTTCTCCTAAAAGTACCCAGTTCTCAAAAGACTCTTAGCATGCTTCTGCAGCTGTAGCAGAGACCATGAAAAATAATACATCTGTAGAACTAGTTTATTCACAAGAACCTGGTATTTACACAGCATTAATTCAAGTTATATAAAGGTTTTTGTATTCTATAAAACATTAGTAATATAGCTCAAAGTTAAAAGTCTCCAGAATCAGCACCAGTTGTGATTTAGTGTAGTCGGTTCTGAATGTTAGTGACTCCAAAAAGTCCTGTTGTTAACCTTGCTCAAGTCGTGCACACACATGGCTTTGGCTTTGTTTGGTGAGTCAATCTGTCTCCTATTTGGCCTTCCTCTTTATCTGCTGCATTGAGTTTCCCCCAGTATTATTCTCTTTTCCAGCAAGTCAAGTCTTCTCATGATGTGCCCACAGTTTGATAGTCTCAGATTAATCATTTTTGCTTCTGAAGAAAGTTCAGATTTGATTTGATCAGCATTCACTTGTTTGTCCTTCTGGCAGTCTATAGTATGTGATTAATATGTAACACTAAATTAAACAGTAGTGTTAAATGTATGAGCCTTCAATTTCCCCTTCTTTTTGTGGCACAGCCATGAGAAAGATAGGAAGCGTTCACTTCCAACTTCAATTGATTGTAGTTTACTATGTTTGATTTTATAACCAGTTTATCTGAATTATGGTTTAGGAAAATAAGACAGGATTTTAAATCGCTGTTAAAACTAGGCGTGTGCACTGGCTTCAGAAAAAAGGTGTATGAATTAGGTGAAACATGGATATTTGTATGTTACTGGAGAATATACATAAGCCCCATTTGTAGTCAGGTTGCTTAGGGTTCCCCAATAAATCACTAAAGTTTGCACTGGCATTTTTTGAGGTTAAAAATGCTGAAATTTGAGCAAAAATACTTGGTGCCAGTTGATGTAGCAGAAGAAGAAAGCACCAAAGGAGAAAGAGACTGATAGCTGAAGCTGTAATAAAAGTCAAAGCCTCTGTCTAAAATTCCAAGTGCTGAGCCTACAGAGCTCCCACCTCACCGTACTCTCAGGTGTTTTTCTCTGAGAATGTACAGAAACCTTAGAACAAATTGGTCCTCAGACCACTACTAAATCAGCTTGAGGTGGGTGGATTCCAATTTGTACATAAATATTTGGATACAAATTGGATCAAATGATAGTCCCACAGCCCTAGGTATAGATAAACAGTTGTTTGTCTGGCTTTGGACATAATGAAGAAAAACAGGCTACTTTTGTAACATTTGTTCTTCAAGGGGTCTCTATGCATTCATACTGATGGATGTACAATGTTGCAGATCCATCCCATCTGGGAGCTTCTAGATGGACCAATTTAACCCTTGTTCTACCCTCCTCTTATAATATATGCTCCACCACACCTTTCCTTAGTTTATAAATTCAGACAACACTGTGGCAAGAAAGTTAACTGCACCTGCTGAAGTGAGGAGGAATGTAAGTTGTGTGACTGCACAGAAGGCCACTTGGACAAACATTACAAAACCAACTTGTTTGTTTCCTGTGATCTCTATGTGTTCATACTTAATGGATTTAGATTACTGAACTCACTTCCAAAAATGTGTTGAAAGGCAGATAAATAGGCACCTGTATTTACTGCAACACTGTGGAAAGAACTGCCTTTCTAAAGGAAACACTCCTCTGAAATCTGGTATCTAGATGGTAAATTGCTGAGACCAGCTTGCACAAGTCAATAAAGCAAGCCATTTGAACAAAGCCATGGAAGTGTTGGATTGGCTTCTGGGAGTCATCAGCAAAGGTAACTTGGCTACTTGGTAATCTAAAGTGATTGTTTTCATAGCCCACTTGGCAAATGTTTAACACAAATGGGCCATTCGCTTGGGGTCAGAATGTTCCAAGTCAGAATCTTCCAAAGGTCAAGAAGACTACCTGAAAAAAACTGCTTCCTGGATGTAGTAGGCCTATTCTTTTCTGATGAGTAATTGTGACAGAGCCCTAGTCAATTTTGCTTGGCAACAGGAGAACTAAGATGATTGACTGGGAGAATGCAGGAAGTGAGCCAATCCAGGAGAGCCTGCTGGAGTTGGAGAAAAGAAGAAGAGCTGGAGAAAAAGAATTTGTATTTGGGACAATTTTAGCTGTATTTTAGGAGTGAGCTGTAACTCAATATAATCTTAAATTGAACTCTGTCTACTTTACCAGTTGATATATTGTAATAAAGAACATTTCATATTTTTCATTCTAAAATCACTTGGGCTCATATGTTTAAGGTTGATGACATGCCTTTTAAAAGAAAGGTATTTTAAAAGTGGCAAATCTGGGTGAGGGCTGGTTACACCAACATATGGAGATTTTTCTCTATTGGTGTTTGAGGTGATGAGAAAAATACTGGGGGAAAGGCACACTGGAGTACATGCTATAGGAGGGCAGTGGACCAACAGTCAAGCTCACAGTCAATAAGTCTTTATAATTAATAGGGGAAGGAGCTCTTGCTTCCAGATTTCAGATTAACGTAATTCACTAAAATACAGAAAAGGCCTTAAACAGGCAAACTTTAAATATCTTTTTCTAGCTTTTCTTGTATTGCTCATAAAGTAAATTAGCAAAAGCATTTATGATTTTAAACAATGTGTTTTAATGAATATTTAAAATGAAACAGTAATACAGATTTTGGCTACATTAATAATCTTACAATATATAGAAGCATATGGGCAAAACATTTCATCCTTAGTGATGACTTAAAACTATTATATTTATTTAACACTGTCGTAGTAACTAAACTAAACTAAACTAAATAAAAGATAATTATTGGTAGAGGTTCTGTTAATGAAACTGCAATTGTAATTTTTATGATTATATATATATATTTATACTGATCTGTTTTATTTTGTAAGCCGCCCCGAGCAAAATCTAATAAATAAATAAATAAATAAATAAATAAATAAATAAATAAATAAATAAATAAATAAATAAATAAATAAATAAATAAACGAGCTAAGAAAAATGAAGTATTTTTCCATGCTTCCCATAAACTATTTATCAAGTACATTTCAGAGACATACTGCACAAAAGAACATGAAACTAAAGACATGGCTCTGCAGAAATACCTTACCAAGTCTTCTTTCTTGGGATCACAGTAAATATCCAGACATCATACCAGGCAGTCATTTCATTTTATGGATACATAAAGGAACTGATTCCTGAAGGGATCTATGGGTTATTGCTACTTACTGATGACGAATTAATGATACTAAGTAGATCCAGACAGATAGAATGTTATTTGGGTAAGGGTGGATATACACAGCAAGAGCAAATTCTGTGTTGGGTACCTCTGAAGAATGAATTCCTGTCTGATACACAGCCTCAGTTATCAACTGTACATCTAGATATGGCATCTGGATCGGAAATCCTGTAACCTACAAAAATAAAATTTTAAATAAGTTTTAAGATAACCATGGCAAAACCTGATGCTATGGGAATGTGCCATCATTATGCCTGGTGGAATTGCACCAACTAGATTTCAATCATTAAGTCTAAAACAATGTAATAAGCTTTTACCCAGAAATCTACAAGAGAATAACAGTAATCTTACAAACCAAGAAAAATGTTTCACAAGTTGAATGTTGTAATGAAGAATAATTGTCTAAAACTCTACATGTCTAATGGATATAGATATTTATCTAATTTTTGAGAAGACAGCCTTCCTGTTTCAGCTTCCAAAGTGAGATATCCCAGCAGTGACATTTCTTGTTCTCAACAAATTGCTTGCCACACTTAGTTGTAGTCTCACTTCCACTTCCTCCTCTCTCTGTCTCTTCCCTGCCATATCCACCCACAACAACCACCAGGACTATGGAATAGAGGGGTGTGAATAACAGGAAGGACTAAAGACCAACACATAGAGAAAAACTGCTACTGGAAGTGTCAGGGGTAGAAGTGGAAATCACAACTTTATCCACATGTCCCATCTGGTAAGCAAACAAAGTTACACATTGGAACATTTCTCATGGTCAAGGTGAGCAGTGTAGGGCTTGCAGGTCCTGGAATAGCTTTGGTCACACAGGCTAGCCACTGTACTTCCTCAACATAAAAGCTATAAAGGCTTCCCATATAGATCCAGACTTTTCACAAGCATAGTTACAGTCTTGTTTTGGCTTTTGCTTGTTCTGAGTCTTGCCTCTTCTTCTCACTCAATCTCTCAGCTACAATGATTGGTTACTCAGAACTAGTAACTTTCTGAGTTCTGAATGTAGGCCTTTGATCTGTTATCAGTACTTATTTATAATCTAATCTGACAACCAAGTTCCAGACTCCTGTGCTAACAGAACATACTTTCATATGTATCCTAGAATCATTGAAAACATGACCTGGGAGAGACCACAGGTGTCATGGAGTCCAACCCCTGCCAAAGCAGAAAATCCCTACCTAAAGCATCTCTGACAGGTGGTCACCCAACCTTTACTTAAACATTTCCAATGCTGAAGAACTCAACAATCTATGAGGAGGTCTACTCCCTTATTGAAAAGCTCTCACTATTGGGAAGTTTTCCTACTATTGAGTCAAAGCCTCCTTTACTGTAATTTAAATCCATTAATTTGGGTCACATCCTCTGGAGCTGCACAAAATAAATTCACTCCATTGTCCACATGACAGTGATTTAAATATCTGAAGCCTGTAATAATACCACCTCTCAGTCTTCTTTTCACGAGACTAAACATCTCAAGCTCCCTCAACCATTCCTTATAGGTTGTGGTTTCCAAGCCTTTTAGTATCCTGGTCACCTTCCTCTGGACATGTCACAGTTTTTCAATATCTTTCTTAAACTATGATGCCTAGAAATGGACACAATATTCCACATAAAGTCTGGCCAATGATGCTTCTGGTAACAGAACCTCATTTTGGAGTATCTAAAGAATAAGATATTTCTATATTTATATTTCAATAATAGAAACACACTGACCCAGTAATGTTCTTGAAAAGTCTCCAAATAATTTTCTTCTTTTTCTTTAGATACATGTCCATTTCTAAGTTCTAGCTTTGGAAGAATCTGTCTCAAGACACTGGTACATTGTCGATGCCAGCGAGTTGGATGTTGAGATCGCCATTCCATCATTTTATTTTTCAATGTCTTCTCAATCCTTTTGGGGTGGAAGTTTAGAAATAACTTGTGAAGTAGTGCCTTAAGAGACCTTGTGATGAGAAAAATTCTAAATCAATCAAGACTAGGTAATTCATATGGAAAGCACTGTTATTTTTCTAGAAAAAGAAACGTAATTTTACCACCAAAGTTCAGTGGTTTAGGTATCTGGCTGCGAATTGGATTCCCCACTGTGCCTCCTTGACAGAGGCTAAACTTGATAATCCATAGGTCACTTCATGATCACCAGTTCTAAGATGATTATTAGAAGAAGAGAAGTTAAAGGGGGGGCATCATTCTAAGCACCACAATATTTATAAGCCATCCTCTATTTGTGAAGGACATGAAAGGCCAGTTTAGATGGGAGAACTAAGCAAAAAGGCCTTTGGTACAGGAAAGGCTATAATGACAGGGTGGAAGGGAGGGAGGGAGGGAGACTGAATGGAAGTTGGTCCAATAAGGCAAGATAACTAATAGGCTTTGCCTTTTGGACAGCTGCAGCTGCCAACACAATGGAAGATGTTGTTTTTATGAGCTATTTGGTTAAAAGGCAAGGAAAGACACCATAAGTCTCCCTTTCTGCAGCTGTCTGGAATAAGTCAGGTTTTTAAAAAAGCAGGAGTCAGAATTGAAGGACAAGCAGGACTGAAGGCAAACCAAATGGTAGGACAATAACGCCCTTTTAAAAACAATTCTGGATGGAAAGAGTGCCCAGAGATCTTCTGCAAATGCACACTTTTTCTCCCCTGTTGTTTCTGTGATAGAGCAGTCTCTACTACTGAGAGGTAAAATAACAATTCACCCTCAGGGTAAGAATATTTTCTCTTATTTGTGATCTTTAACTTTTCAGAGGACACAATGGCCAGACTCTCATTGTTCAGTGTAGCAAGTTGCACTAGAGCTGGCCCACAAATTCAATGGGAATTTGGTATGTCAATTCCTTGGTATATTCCATTGATTCAAGTGGGCCTTATAATTGCAATGTTAATTCAGCATAGTATGTTGCAGTTAAAGTAAACCCATTTGAGTCATTGGGATTTATTAAGGACTTGACTCACTAAGTTCCTGTTGATTCTATGGGCCTATTGAAATTTACTATGCTAAGCAACAGGATTTTGGCCATTAACTAAGGACTTAATCTGATAAGATAACGCTATTGATGCAATAGTGCCTCATGGTACATGAAGGTATTGTTACCCTATATGCCAACCCATTCAAACAGCAAACATTACAAACCTCAGAAGTAGTAGATTAGATTAAGCATCCTTCAGTCTCGAAAGACTATGGTAACATGCTCTGTATGGAGGACATGGAACAGTGTCTAGTGTGGCTGAGAAAGCCAATTTGAGAGTGACAATCCCTTCCACACTGAAGACAATCTGTCCCCTGTCCAGCTCCCTGATTTTGCTGCTTTTGGGGCTGCTTCTTTGTTTTGGCCTGCTGGACAAGCGCCTCTTCAAAATGGGAGAGGCCATGATGCACCACCTGCCTCCAGGCTGAACACTCAGATGTTAGGGTTTCCCATCTGTTGAGATCCATTCCTAAGGCCTTCAGATCCCGCTTGCAGATAGCCTTGTATCGCAGCTGTGGTCTCCCTCTGGGGCAATTTCCCTACATTAATTCCCTGATCTTTTGGAATCCGACCATCAGCCATTCTCACAACATGCCCAAGCCAACGTAGACATCGCTGTTTTAGTAATGTATACATGCTAAAAATTCCAGCTTGTTCTAGGACTACAGTACTCTGCTTGGAACTTTGTCCTGCCAGGTGATACAAAAAATGCATCGGAGACAATGCATATGGAGCATGTTCAGCTTCCTCTCCTGCTGTCCTCTCCAGGACTCATTGCAGTAAAGGAGTGTGCTCAGGACAACAGGCTCTATAGACCTGGATCTTGGTATACGCCATCAACTTCTTATTAAGCCATACTCTCTTTGTGAATCTAGAGAACATGGTAACTTCTTTGTCAATGCGTTTATCCAGCTCAACATCTAGGGAGAGAGTGTCAGAGATCCTTGAGCCAAGGTACACAAAGTCATGAACAACCTCCAATTCTTGTATGGAGATGGTAATAGAGGGAGGTGAGTCCACGCCCTGACCCATGACTTGTGTTTTCTTCAGGCTGGTTTTTAATCCAAAGCCTTGGCAGGCCTTGCTAAAATGATTCATGAGTTGTTGGAGGTCTTCAGCAGAGTGGGCAACGATGGCTGCATCATCTGCGAAGAGGAAGCCCCGCATGCATTTCACCTGGACTTTGGTCTTCGCTCTCAATCTAGAGAGATTAAAGAGCTTTCCATCTGATCTAGTCTGCAGATAGGCACCTTCTGTTGCAGTTCCAAAGACATAATAGGGCAGCATGAAGTAAAAGAAATCCACACAATATAGGAGCAAATAATGGTTCTGTGTCTAATAAGACCAATAATATTATCTTTTATCTTCAGTATTATGAAAGCAAATGCCATAGGGACTAAAATGCAGGGGAGGAGTATCAGGAGACAGGTATCTAGTTGTCTCGTGTGCTCCCAGAGGCATCTGGTGGGGCCACTGTGAGATACAGGAAGCTGGACTAGATAGGCCTTTGGCCTAATCCAGCAGGGCTCCTCTTATGTTCTTAAAATAAATAGAGTCTAATAGCTATGAACAAAATCCTGAATTTCTAGAATGCTGGTCCTGGAAAATTATAAACTGAGGATTTTCTAAGATTCAGGTAGTGTTATTCTGGATAAGAGGGACTAGAGGAGAAGAAAAGGAAGATAATTTTCTCAAAAATATAGAACTAGCTAGTTATAGACATAAATGTGACGTATTTGCAGATTGTTTGAAAATACTTTCCCTCCTAAGCAGAATGAGGATGGCATCAAATTAGCACTTTGCAAAGCTCTGGTATTTAGTTAGTTATTTAATATTAGCATTAATTTAAATTAGTTTGCTTCTTGAATTCAAACCATACACAGGTTCCACTCTCCATTTATCAATTATTATTTCAAACAACATGAATTAGAATAACTAAAAAATTCTAGCTCTGGAAAAAATATTGGCTGAAATATGATGTTATTTCTTTGGACAGATGGGAATGGATAATCAGGGACAGATAACTGTGGGTCTCTTGCTGGATTTCAGCTTCTCTGACCCTTCATCACTAACATTTTTGGCAATGTATCTGTGAAGATTCTGTCATCCAGGTGAGATTATCTGGAAATTGAGTAATGGCAACTGGGCTTCTTTCTTGTTAGGTTGAAATGTTTCACTATTCATCCAAGTAGCTTCTTCAGTCTGAGGAGAGTTGGTAGGAGACCCCTGACATACCCTCCACTTCCCCCTAGTCTGAATAAGCTCATTAGAAGAACAAAGGACTAGGGTGAGGGATAAGTCCACTTTTGCAGTCCTTCTCCACCCATTGTCATGCGTCATTAACAGTCGTTAACAGTGGCCTTTCTGGTGTGTGTGGTCCTAATCTTTCTGGGGATGGATGACAGGGCAGCATGATAAATAGGAGACATCTAAGACTTCCATCCCTGTTGAGTGAGGGATTTTCTTATGCACATGTATGGCCTTCCTGACCCCTCTCTCAAACCACCTATCTTCTCGGTTGTAAACGAGTACATCTTCATCATCAAATGAGTATCCTTTTGTCCTTCAAATGAAGGAACACTGCTGATTGTGGTCCTGAGCCATTACCTCTCCTGTGCTGGGACTTTTCCTGTTTAGTGGCTGTTTGGTTTCTCCAATGCAGAGCTGTGAACACTCCTCTTTGCATTAGACTGCATATACTATATTGCTCCTGTTGTGTTTTGGTGTCCCATCTTCGGGTGGACAAGTCTCTGCCTTAGTGTGTTTGTGTGTTTGAAGTGCACGGGTATGTGGTGTTTACCAAAAATCCTTTTGAACTTTTCAGATACACCCGCCATGCAAGGAATGACCAGGTTCTTCCACTGGTTCTGCATCTCAGACTGTTACAGTGTCCTCCTGGGCCGGGACATTGCATTGTAAAGGCCCGTTTTGGATATCCACAGGCCCCAAAGGCTGTCCTCAGAAGTCCATCTTCCTTCTTCTTGGCTTCTGTGGAGGTGGGGATGTTTCTTGTTCTGTGGTTTAGCATCCTGATGACTCCTAGTTTGTGTTGTAATGGGCGATGAGAGTCAAATTGCAGGTACTGATCAGTGTGTGTACAGTGTCAAGCTAGAGAATAAAAGGCATCATCAGGAGGTGAGGAAAAGTGGTGCATGCTTCTATGAAAACTGGAAGGCATTATGTTGGCTGCTGGATGTTTTTCCTATGAACTAGAAGTGGGTATGTGGAACACATATAATGAGTTTCTCCAGCGACAGTTTCTTTCAATAGTCATCTGTGAATGAAAACTAATAGGTTTTCTGTGTCTGTTCATAACTTTCTAGAGCTCAGCAGAAGGGGGGCATCACCCACCCTCCACTGCACATGTCAAAGCATGCCTAGCTAGAATCTCTGTTCTAGTTCACCACCAAAACATGTGGAGACCAGACATCAAAGGGGAGGAGGGTGAATCATGTGAGTTCATAGCCACTTGAAGAACCACAGTTACCAAAGCAACCTGTCATTTTTCTACATGGTCTCTGTGACTCACAATGATAGACATTAACAAGCTGCCTGACTGAAGGCAGGTCATGTCAGTCCAGAATAGAAGAAAGAACCACTCTAACAAAAGAAGCATGGGTCTTTCTGTGGACATTCAGAAGGCAGTATGAACGAACATCAGAGACCATAACCATTTAGCTACCTGGCAGAACAGGAATACCTCACAAAGTGGTGGCAGAGGCAGATTCTCATGGAGTTGCCCAACTGTACAATGTAGGAAATTTAGCAAACACATATGCCAGGGAAATATATTCTACCACCCAGTGAACAAAAAACTATGCAGATACTGGGAGGTATCTGGATAGTGGATCACACCACCCTGTGATCCATGGTATGGATAGCACATAATTCAGAAGCCCTTTTCTCTGAGGTTATGGCTAACAAAAAGGCAGTTTTTTTAGGATTAGCAGTTTTAATTCACAGGTAGCTATTGGCTCAAAAGGATTTTTTTGTCACTTTGGGTTAGAACCACAGAGAGAGACCATGTAGGAACCGGAGGGGTCACTTCTGGAAGTATTTGTGTAAGGCTTCACATGTGCTTCTTCACAAGAGAATCCATAAAGAGGAGTGTCTCATAAAAAGAAACAGGATGAAAAACTGAGATAGTAGCCCAGTGATCCTTAATTGAGAAAAGTGTCAAGCTTCAGTTGAGATCCAGAGGACACATTTGTTTTATCCATGACAAGCCAAGTATGTTTGACATAGGTGAGTCTCCCCCAGACAAAACAGCACCAAGAGCATCTATAGGGGCTATTTTACCTCCATAATCCATGATCTTTTTAAAGAAGGTCTTAGAAACCATGGATGCAGGCAAGATCCACAAAGAAGGCAGAGAAGAAAGGTTTGTTTAAAGTAAGCAGAAGAATACAATGAATGAATGAATGAATGAGGAATTAATATAAATATTGCTCATCAGTAAAGGGTGCTCTGAAAATGTAGCTCTAACAGCAGACAAAAAGAAACTAAGGGATTCCAGCTAGGTGCACTCTAAAATGCTGCCAAAGGTGGGGACAGTCTTCTGATCTTCACCTCAAAAAGTCTCACACAGTTAACTGCACAGGTATAGAAAACCTATCAGTGTGAGTCAGGGAGACCGTAAAGAACGACCCCCCCCCAATAATAATGATTTACACACTTTCGGTCTTTGCTCCCAGCTCTGAAAATTCTTAATCATGTTTGAAATAGTTACCTATTCTGCAGTTCTTCTAACGAGCCTTCATCAGTAGGGACATAAACTATTTCTTCTGTCTGAAATATAGTTTTTTAAAAATGCACAACACTTTCATGTATAGATACATATTAAGCAAGATTTACATGGACAGTTCAAAGGCATCGCAGCTGTCTAATAAATACAATATATTTTCACTGATAAAATTCAGTTCTTCATTGATTTTCATTAAAATTAGTGTGGAAAGAACTACAAAAGTATCACAAGGCTTATTACGATAGAAGTTTGAATAAGATAATTGTATTTTACTGAACAAATCCTCGATTCCTTTTTTAATTTAAACATACATATCTGACTTTTCATTTTAAAAAAGGGAGTGCTAAAAATCCAATATATTAAAACTACATCACTGGAATAAAACCAACAGCAGTTCATCAAAACAACAGCAATTAGTATCATTCAAGTCAGAGATCATCTGAGTACAAGGCATGTTACTACGTACAGAAAACAACAGGAAAAAACGATCATATTTCTGGAAAGTAAGAGGCTTTTTAGCTCTCTCTATTTTAGATTTTTCTACCATATTGTGTATAGACCAAATTATTTTCTTTCGCAAAACTTTGGAGTCAGTATCAGAAACTGATTAAGGAACAAACTCCTCCTCTGAAGTGCAAAATTCTTTGCACTTCAAAAACAGACATTATGCTAGTCTGTAAATAAGTTGTGTTAGGTAATCACTTTAACTACTACCAGGATGTTTATGTAATCAATGCTTTGAAAGTTCATTACATGTGTTAATAACATTATTGTCACTAAGAAAGTTCATCACTTGTACCTGTAACTTTCTTCCACTGATCCCTATCCCCATTTGGCATAGAGACTGTGTATATAAAACCCTGACAAGATACTATACCCCATGTATCTGAGAAAATGGAGTGTAATCCAAGGAAGCCCATACCGAAATCAGTATATTTGCTTCAAAAGTGCCACAATATGATTACTGTATTTTTATTCTGTTTTTTAAATATATGCTGAAAAGGATGCACACAGCTACCTCTTTGAAAAGTAAAATGTTTGTAACAGGTGTAACATGTTCCAGGTGGCCAATTTCAATCAATAAATCTGTAACCACATTCTCTACCAAGATAAATTTCCAAATTATTATCCAAGGTAGACCCATATAGAGCCCATTGCAGTAAAACAGGGTAGATAAAAATAAAGCAGGAATTAGTGATACAAAAGTTACTCTTTGCTACAAAGGTATAGCTGGCAAACCAGGCTAAGTTGCTGGAGAAACATACACTTGACCACAGCTGCCATCTATACTCACGAGTTCAGGAACAAAACTAGGTCATGATTAGAGATTAGGGTATTCATATTCATATACGAATACCTCACACAGGTGGGTATTCACTCATGAGTCTGCTGCTGCCGCCAGCTCCGTTCTCCCTTTCAATCGCTCTGGAGCTCGCGATCGGCTATCCACTCATCAGCCTGGCAGGGAGACTTATCTTACTTCCTTCTGCCAGGAGTGGCTAGCCAAATGCAAGCTCTGGAGCGGTTGGAAGGAAGAGCAGAGCCGGCACCGGCAGCAGACGAGTCAGTGGACTGTCCAGCCCCAGGGGGGCGGACCCTCATTATGTCCACTTGTGCAGGGAAATTCATATTTGTATTTGAATATGAATACCCCAATCTCTAGTCATGATCCTGGGTTTTCAGGAGTTTGCAACTCCATCTAACACTGCCATATGTATCTCCCCTTTTTTGATATCATGTTTCTGGGATTGCCTGTATCATAAAGCACATAGTCTTCCAATATAGCAGGTGAGAAGAAAAAGTCAAGGGGGTCTGGAAGGTCCATTCCAGTTGCAACTGGGAAGTATTCCCGATCATAGAAATGCAAGAACAAAGCTCTGGAAACAAAGATAGAAAAGAAAAAAAGAGCGAAGGAACCAGCCATGGTCACAAAGCATGTTGGGGGTGATAGGAATGGATGCACCAGGGTGAACAAACTCTGCAAGATGCCTAGATACAGTCTTATTCAACCAAAGATGTTCCCACAAACTCCTGAGTCATGGCATTTGCCCTACATGAGAGGAAAATGCAATCTTCCATTACTTCAAGAACCATTTCAATCTTAGTAGGTTACATTTGATTAAACTATGAATCTACAGGAAGCTGTGTTTCTGGTTTATGATATTTCACTGAATGTGATATAATATATAATTACATAAAAGGACACCCACTCCTATCCTAAAGCAGAATGAGTTGCAATATTTTAACATTTCTTCCATGCAGATTTATTTTACCCTCAATACTAGCCACCTCTTCCCACTACTAGGTACTGTATTTTTTTTGTGTATACGACCCCCCCAATGTACAAAACAACCCCCTATTTTTGATCCTCTTCCCCCAATGTATAAAACAACCCCCTATTTTTGATCCTCTCTGGATGCAGAGGAGCAGTTAATGGGCAACTGCTCCTCCACCTCTATCTCTCCTGCTGCCTCCGCCTCCGCTGCCCACCTGATCACTTCCCTCTATGCGATTGCTTTGCCTCTGCCTCCTGCTGCCGCAGCCACTGGAAGGGAAAAGGTGGATGTGAGCTGGATGTGAGCCCCGTCTGTCTCACTGGAGGAGGTGATCGGGCAGGCAGGGGAGGCAGCATCAAGATAAACCTGAGCATGTGTGACTGCTCCTTTGCCTCCGTTTCCTGCTGCTGCTGCCTCCGCCACCGGAGGGGACAAGCCGTGAGCCCTGGAGGAGGCAATTGGGTGGCAGCGGCAGCAGCAGGAGGTGTCCAAGCGTGTGTAAGACTGCTCCTTTGCCTCTGCCTCCTTCTGTGGATAAAACAACCCTCAATTTTTCCTCTAATTATTTCAGGAAAAAGTGTTGTTTTATACACGGAAAAATACAGTACTTTTTAAAGAAACCAGAAAAGCTTCCATTTCTTCTTGCTTCTTTTCACTACTATTTAATATGCAGGTATATTCTGAAATACTTGTTACCTGTATAGTCTGGTTTTTTAAATGCAGAGCACTGCACGGAAGCAGTTGTCTCCAAAAGCATTCCTTTGAAATGTCAAAATTAACACACATGGGTGAATTATTCTGCTGTATGTTGAACCAGACCTATTAAAATAGAAGCATAAAATATGCAGTCAATCCAAAACATTTTAGAACCAAAGTATTATAATAGCATCCTTCCTATTAAAAGCTGAGAAATGAAAGCAGTTATGATGAGCAAAACTTTTCACAAGTCTATCAAAATTGCAGGAAAGGAAACAGGAAGAATCTGGTACTTTCATGGAATAAACACAGACTTTTAAATGTTTATTATACCTTAGTCTACACTGTTACTCCCTCCCCTTCTCCTCCTGGGCTGGTTCTTGCACTACCAGTGCCTCAGCTAAGTGGGGGAGGGAGATGCCATTAGAATTATTGGCTGTCTCAAGCACCACAGAGGTGGCAGGGCTGGTGCCTCTCCTGGAGATGGGATAGTGTGTGGCCCCCTTTTCTGGACCCTTCTGCCAAGGGTCATCATCCTGCTTCCAGGCCAGCTCTCTGAACATGCAGAGAACAGATTCCAGCTCCACTGTTGCAGACTGGCAGGTCTCCTTCTTGGCCAACCCCTCATTGAGTATTACAGGCCCTGAAGATCCTGGTGTTAACC